CATATATTGATATAAAAAGAACAATTTTACACAATACTGTTCACCAAAAAAAAAAAAAAGTAAGCCCTTCCAGCTAAGGTCAGTGGTCCAATCTGGACTGGATTGCACTACTGTTCAGGCCAAAGCTTAGGTTGCACAGTGCTCGGCGGGCAAGTCCAGGCTTAGAATCATGCCCAAAAGTTATTGGATGTAGAGTGAGTTTCTCTCTACCAGCGTACCAACATTTTACCCCAAAGGCAAGTTCTCCAATTATTGTATTTGCTACAAATTAAGAGAAGGCTAGAAAGGCATCAAAATGCTGGCTATATGGCCCAGGAAGAAGTTACTATAACCAGGCCCCAGGCACCAAGTGTGGCAAAAGGTTTTGGGAGTCCTTTGAAAGTAATACCAGAGCCCCTGTCCAGACTGCCACCTCTGGATTTGGGATCTGGTCTACAAGTTCCAAGTCCAGTGAACAGCACAGTTCTGAGAAGCAAACAGACTGGGGAAGATATGACAAATGCCGACTGTAGTATAAAAAGGCATAAAAAAGTCTGCCTCGGGCAGTGCCATGCCACCAGAAGCCCTTGCAGAGGCTCTGCCCTGAAGAATCAAAAGACAAAAGTCCTAAAAAATTCCACCCACCTGACTGACCTTGGGAGCAAAATGTCTCATCCCACTAAAATGTAAAGGTCTAAACCTGTACCTTACCAGATGCTCTGAAAATTAAAATCAGCTGAGAGCACAAAACTCATTCACAATTACCATTACAATCTCAATATTTACTTCTAACTAGCAACACATCCTTTACCTTCCATTAAAGGCACTAGTGTCTATACATAAAGAGGAAACATAATTTACCTTGGTTTTATCTCAGTAAAAGCAATTTCGTGAAAGCGTTACGCAAAAACTAAGACATCACTTTCTTCCCCCTTGCATCAGAAGCTAAGGGGAAAGCCGCCGCACATCAGGGATACTCAAACTGTGGTCATGAGCTTTAAAGAGCCAGACCGAAAGCGTAGGATTTTCTTCTTGAGGGTGTGCGAAGCCTTAATTTTGACGAAGGTTTTTGTGGGGTTCGGCGCGGCGACCGTCTGCATCGGGAGAGTCTGCACAAACTGGGACCAAATCAGGCCCCCGCTCTCTTCCGAGTCGCTGGTGGTGGTGCTCTCGCCCACGAACTCGCCCTCGCTCACGCTGGACTCGCTGTCGCCGAAGCAGTTCGTGGTGTAGTTGCTCTGCTCGTCCTCGCTCGTGTCCACCACGGTGGAGTGGAAGAGGGACTCGCACTCGGCCGAGTACTCGGAGTCGCTGGCGGCGTAGGCGTAGGGGCTGGCGTAGGGCAGCGGCACGGGCACGGGGTACACGCCCACGTGCTGCTCGCGGCGCGCCCGACGGGTCCTCCACAGGGCCTCTTCGTAGGAGATCTCGGCCGAGGACTTCCAGCGGCGGTAATCGGTTCGTTTGTGCTTAGGTTTGGCCACCACGGCCTCCCGTCCGTGGCCGTGCGCCTTGCTTCCGGCCCTGGGGCCTCCTGCGCCCACCAGCCGGCCTGCGTGCAGGGCCTCGGGGGCCCCGCCTCCTCCCTTCCGGCCCTTGCAAGAGGCCCTCTTGGGTCTCCGGTTTGTATCCAAGTCGTCGGGGAAGCGACACTTCTTGCCAGCGGCGCGGGCCTTCTCCCTGACCGTGGGCAGGCCACTGTCCAGCCCCGGGGGAGCCTGGCCGCGCGGCCGCAGGGTGGAGCTCCGCGCGCCGCCCGCGCTCCTGTGGCCGCGGGGGAGCCGGGCCGCCGGCTGCTGCCCCGGGACGAACTGCGCCTTCACCAGGGGGCCGTCCTCCGGGCTTTGGGAGGAAGAGCCCTCGCTTTTGAAGTCCAAGGCCGGCCTCTCCTCCGCCACAAAGGCTGCGGGCAGCAGCGGGGCAGGACCGGGAGCCAGGGCGGGCTGCAGGCTGCTCTTGGGAGCCATCTTCTTCGGGGGCTGCGCGGCTTTGTGCTCCGGCGTGGGCCCGGGGCCCTGGCCGGGGCTCTCCTTGTGAGCGGCAGCCGGGGCCTGACCGCTTTCTTTCAGGGACTCTCCTGCCCCCGGGGCGGCAGGACCCCAAGCCTGATCCTGGGAGGCTGCCTTGGCATTTCTGGGGAGGTGTTTGCTTGGGAGCTCCAACGCAGCGCCTGCTAAGCAACCCTCGGACACTATCAGCCTCTTGCCTTCCAGTTCTGCCTTGGGGTCCTTCGACCACTGCTTCAGCGGGGAGAAAGTCGAGCTTTCCGGAGAGGGCATTCCGCCAGAGGGCAGACACACCAGCTTCGCATTCTTCAGGTTTACACCGCTGACCTGCGTGCCACTGCTCCCGGCGGCCCGGACACACACGCTCGCATTCCTCAGAAGCCCTTTCGTGGGGTCTGCACTCACGCTGGTCCTGGGTTTGTTGGTCCTTACAGGATGTGGCTTTTTCTGGACCAGGCTCAAAATGTAGCCATCCATTTTCTTACTGAATGAAGGACGGGAGGCAGGCCACAGACTGCTCGGCGATGGTAAGGAGCCATCTGCTTTGGCGACATCTAGTTCGGGTCCAACACAAAGGTCAGCGGCCGGGTTCTCAAGCTGCTCCTCTTCCCTGAGAGGGGTGCCCGCCAGACACAGGAGGAACATCGGGCTCTGCACAGCCACCTCGTGCAGGGGGCTGGGATAGTGATAGATGTCGTTCCCATTCTTAGACACCAGGTCACACTGGTACTTGGGATTCACATCTGCCGCTTTGGGGCAACCATCTGAGATAGTCAAGGCTGCCTCCAGGGGGCTGCAGAAGCAAGTACTGGAGTGACAGCTGGATAAGCACTCACTGAACACCGAGTTGGAGGAGTTGGAAAGGGATCCTGAAGCCCCGTCACTCAGTTCATAAAACCCAGAGCTGGGCCGGCTGTCAGTCTCCAGGCGCTCTTCAGAAGTCTTTTCTACATCCAGCCTCAGGTCACTGATCTGCTTGTCCCGTTCTTGCAACTGATTCAACAAACCAGCATCTCTTCTCCTCAGACAATTCCAAAAGTCCCTGCGCTTCTCCACTAACGAAGTCTGCCCTGAAGGACGGAGTTGCTGACAAGCCCAGCACGACAGGGGACAGGGGACAGGGGACAGGGACCGGGCACTAGCGCCCCGCCGCCCGCCCTATTAGTGAATTCTTAATATGTCACTATATGGTTTCTGTACTACTTACTACTTAGCCATCTCTTTTTAAAAACTGATACATATGGGTTGGCGAGATAGCTCAGCAGACTAAGCACCTGCGTAGGCAAGTGCAGGGACTGGGGTTCGATGCCTGGCCCTACATGCTGCACCAGCCCCGCCCCTCGGGTGTGCTGAGCTGGCCACTGAGACATGGTGTGGTGGTGCACACCTATAATCTCAGGGCTGGGGAGGCTGTAAACAGGAGGATCACTATGAATCTGAGCTGCATAGTGAGACCCTGTACCAAATACATTAAAAAAAATGGAGGCTCAACAGTATTTTTTTTTCAACAGTATTTATAATACTATAACGTACAAATATTCTTAACTATAATACCAATAGTATACTAGGATACATTGAAAAGGAAATTACATTTCATCTGACATATAACTTGAAATAAAATAATTTTTCAAAAAAGCATATTGGATGGGGCTGACCAACTAGCCCAGCAGATTAAAGCACCTGAAAGCAGGCTCAGGGGCCAGGGGTTTGATCCCTGGGCCTGCAGTGCCACCCCTGCCCCCGCGGTGTGCTGAGACAGCAGTTGAGACTGGACATGGGAGTGCATGCCTCTAATCCCAGCTCTTGGGAGGCTGTAAACAGGAGGATCACTACACATCCGATCTAGTAGTGAGACCCTGAACGCCCTGTAGACCCTTCCCTAAAATTAAACACACACACACACACACAGGGAATATTAGAAAGAATGGCTCTGATGTGAAAGAAAATAAGCATGTATAAACTTGTACTTAAAAAATTTTATTTTCATTAAAATATTAGTCTAGTGTGAGTCTTTTCATTCACACCCCTTAGCGGTAAGAGATCACTATCAAACTTTACCAGCTGAAGAAATTCTTCTATTCTCTTGGTTATTATGTCTTTTTTGCTTTCTCTAAACATCTCAGACAATCATTGTATCTTTTAACTTCATTTCATGTCTCACATCTTTGTTTAATATTTTAGGAGATGTCTTCCACTTTAATTTATGGTCCTTCTGTCATTCTAGGTTTGGAATTCTCACTTTGCCAAAATGCCTTTAAGTTTTGCCTACTAATTTAAAAAAAATAGTACAGCTTACTGTTATTGTGGGATGCTTGGACCGGCTTCCTTGTCTACAATGACAATTCATTTTCTTGAAAATCTTGACTTCAGCTTGCAGAGAGCACTGAATGTCCCTTGTCCTGGATGACTGGACTGAGGAGGGCTGGGAGGCCCCATGTGATACACATTTTCAATTTATTTTCCCAGCCAGCTCTTCTGTGATCTTCAAGCTCAAAGTTCTCCTTGGGACTCTTTAAGGAAGACAACATCCTGCACAGCTGTATCCTGATCTTGAGAAGGTGCCAGAGATCACAGCTTCCTCTACCCTGAGTTATCTGCCAACTTAAAGCCATATACTTGTCCCCTTTCAGAAAGTCGTCAATTTTCGCTGGTGTGTCTGTCCCTCCTACTCACCATACAGTTTCTTGATTTGATCTCATTTTTATTTCTTTGCTGTCCTTTCAGTGGAACTTGAAAGCTGAAGGTTGGTAGATGCAAGGACTCAGCCCACCGCTTCGAGCTGGAACTCTTATAGCTCTTTGAATGAATCACTCTATTGGGTTATAATAGTTCTCTCAGAAGACCTCAAACTGATAGGAGTATGTGGTCTCAAACTATTATTGCTTTTAAAAATTTTCACTCCAGCCAGCACCCAGGCTAGGTGTGTGTGTGTGTGTGTGTGTGTGTGTGTGTAAAACTTCCTCCATCAGACAGGCCTGGTGTGGAACCCTGCAGCAGAACTCCCTGCAGAGAGGCTGGAGGCAAGACCCACCCAGCTGATCCAGGAGCAGAACATCTTGCCAGAGTGGCACAGAGGGTTCACCTCCAAGGGCTGCAGCAGGAAGAAGTGGAGCACAGCAGCCAGAGCCAAGCCACACCCACATGGACAAGTTTGAACCTGGTGGATCCGAATCTGGTGCTAAGGTAATAACTGCACCAAAGCTCTACACCAAAAGTCAGAAGACAGTGCTCTACAAAATGACAAAGTGAAAGAGTGAAATGCATTCTCAGGCCCAAGCCCACCCAGAACAAATGCAGGAGACAATAGTATAGAAGAAATTGGAAAACGCACACCTGAAATCTCTGAAATAATAGCATCTGGAGTAGAAAAACAACTGCAGAAAGGTATAGAGGAAATCAGATCAGAAATAATTTCTGATATTAAAAAAATGATAACTATAATGAAAGAAGTACTAAGTGCTTCTAAAGAAGACACTGATAAAAAATAGAGAATAGAAAAATGATGGAATCCTTGAATGAACAATATAGAAAAGAAATAGAATGCATGAAGCAAATTCAAAGTGCTATACAGGAAATTAAAACCTCAATCACTAGCTGGCAGAACCATCTGAATGAAAGTGAAAATCGACTTTCAAACCTTGAAGACACAATTGCAGCTAGTGAAAGGGTAAGAAAAGATCTCTTAAAAACAACTAGGATGCAGGAAAAAAATAATTCAACATCTGCAAGATGATGCAAAGATGAACAACGTGAGACTAATAGGCATCAATGAGAAAGGAGTCAATACAAATGATATAAAAAGAATATGAGCAGAAGTAATAGCAGAAAACTTCCCAAATGTGGGGAAACAATCTGACATTCAGGTAACTGAAACATACAGAACTCCAAATAACAACAACCCAATTAAAAAATGCCAAGATATATAGCAGTCAGGATCCCAGAAATGCAGCACAAGAACAATATACTGAAAGGCACCAGAGAGAAGAAACAGATCACACTTAAGGGAAAGCCCATCAGAATAATGGCAGACTTCACAAACCATGAAGTCAGGAAGAGCATGGAGGAGAGAACTTAAGTTCTCTATGAAAACAAATTCCAGCCCAGACTACTATACCCTGCAAAACTCTCTTCAAGTTTGATGGAGAAGTGAAATACTTCCATGACAAAGAACAACTAAAGAATTTCATGACGCCAAAGCCAACCCTATACAGACTACTAAAAGATATCCTAAAGAGAGATCAAAACGACCACAACACCATGAATGAGAATGGAAAGAACCCACCAAATAGGGCAAACAATTAAACATAGGAGGAAAAAGAGATATACAACAACAGTCTTTTAATTATTCTTTTATACACAGCAGCAAAATATTTCCATCAGCATACTCTACAAATGGACTTCTCCTGCACCCTATGGGTCATGATTCTGTCAGAGTCTACAGGGTGGATATCAAGGAAATAGCAGTGGCTCAGTCCACAAGTGACACCTGACCACCAGTAAGCATCATGGACACTGTCCACATCCACCACATACTAGAACTTTGTGCGATATCCTGTCCCTAAACTGTTAGAAGTGCTGGTCATATATTTGCTATTCCGGTGTTTTTGTTATAGTTCATTCTTAGTAATTCTTTACTATCATGAAAACTTTTTCTTAGTTGATGTTTTTGTGTATATTAACCTAATCAAATACTATGTGAGTACTCTGAATTGATCACAGATTCATACATATGATATACAACATTCTGGCTTTTTAGTTGGACTCACAATTTAATTTTAATTTTTTAATATTTCAAAATATTTAATTTTGAATTAATATTTAATTTTCTGAATATTGTTTAATTTTTGTTTTATGATTTATACTCTTTCTTTGACTTACAATCTATTTATAAGACATGGTATTATATTTTCTCCTAGTATTAGAAAGTTTAAAAAGTATATTTCCATTTTCCATTGACTTTATATTAGTTCTTCCTTGTCTTTTACACACACACATACTTACACACATGAAAAAATATGTATATAACCTGACATAAGGTTGATACTGTTTTATGGAAATCTTCAATGACCTTTTAAGTGGGTTTATCTAATATAATTATATTTTACATAGTCCTGCAAAACTACCATTTTGAGAGCTCTTTATTCTTTATCTAGGACCATACAGCAACTTCTCTTGCCTTCTGGATTATGGTCTTTGCTATTTTCTATATGCTATGTCTGGAGGTATTAGAATATTTTGAGTTTGTATTACTGGAAAATATTTTAATTTTCAAAGGTATGTTTGCTAAGTATAAAATTCAATGAGGACAGATCTTTTTTTTTTAGTCCTTTGAATAAATAAGTCTGTTTTTGTACCCACTTGCTCTTTTTTTTCTAGTATGGAATAAAATGCTATTGAATTTTGTTCTTTCATAGCTATTATTTTTTTCTTGTTGATTCTTTTCTTCACAATTATTTTTGGACAAATTTCATTTTTTGTATCTTGGTATGATTTTCATATTTCTTGTGTAAAAGGTTCATTTTTCTTGAAATTGTGGTGCTATCATTTTAAGTAAATTCAGAAATTTTAAATCTTTAAATATTTATTGCCTACCTCTTTCTACTTTGAGAATTCTAATTATATGAATATAAGTTTCTGGATTTTGGTACAATTTGAACTGTTATATTACTGATCTGTGAACTATCTCTTCATGTTTATTTTAGACAGTTTTTATTGTTATATTCACTTAAGTTTGTCAATATTTTTTACAACGTGCAATCTATTACTAATAAATAAAGTGAAAAAAATTCTTATGGCTGTAGTTTTTTTCTTTTCACAGTCCCCTATTGCTTATCTTATGCGGTTATCCTTTAATATACTCTTCTAAATGGCCGCTTTTATTACACAATAAACAAAATAGATTACCAAGATTGCAAGAGTCAATGAACTTTGAGAGCGTGTTTTGAGAGCTACTCCTTTCAGCAACATGCACGAGCTGTCGGACATGAACTTTGTGACATCTATTGAGTCACAATAGATAAACACATAGGTGTTTATCCTCACTACTTTGGGTCTCTCTTCAGTTAATTAAAAAATTCTAGTTAAAGTGAACCCTGAACTGGATGTATACATTTATTAACTTCATTAGAGCACTATTTACATCTTAGGGTCAATACTAAACATTTACTTCATATATTGTTTTGTTTTTTTCTTTAGGAATCATTGTCAAAGAAGCATAGCTCAATCAGGAGTAGGTTTATTTCCCACATAAAGATTATTTATAATCAAGATACAAGTCTATATTTCTTATCAACTGATAGTCATCAACTGATTTATCAGTAAGGAGTCATTAGCAAATGTGCCAATTGTCTTCCCTCTTGAGTCTTAACACATAATTCCCAAAAGAAACTTACATATTGAAAAAACAGTAGGACTCAGCACAGTCATTTCAGATGAAGAAAATTTATTTCATGTTGTGGTTATAAATTTTAGTAATTCTTGAAGTCATTCTTCTTGGAATGTTTCCAAAATATTAGTGTAGTTACTCAAGACAAAATACATTATCTGTGGATGCTTTAAAATATTATGAGAAGCACATGCCAAAAATTAACACATTTGTTTAATTTCATTAGGTATCAGTGAGAACTGATAGGAAACCATGATTTTAGATGGTGTGCTAGTTCTATGGAGTTGTACAAGTGTCAGTGGTTATCAGGGAAGATTATGGTTGTAGAGATCTTCTGGGTGAGTCAGGTGGGGCCCATTGTTGAGAGCCCAGTAATCCCATTCTACAGACTTTAAATGGAAAAACCCACTTGTTTCAAAGTATAGTCTGCATGCAATGAGAAGCAAATGCCATTTCTACTTGGAGACTCTTCTAACAAGAAATTAAGGGGCTGCCAAGGAAAGTAGCCTGGCATGTATATCCATAGATAAGTTCCTGGCTGCCTTAAGTAAAAAAGTACTGATGAAAAATAAAGGTTTTATGTCCAGTAAGCAAGGGGGCTAGAAAAAGCTGGCAATATAAGCAGAAAAGGTTATCTCTCTTGGCAGTGTCTGTGTGGGATTGTAGGCTGAAAATGGCAAAGAAACAATCCTTGATGACAAATGTTTTCAAATGGCTCTGCAGATTGTAATGCTACATTTGCAAAAATACTTTTTATCCTACTATATAAATAATAACTATTTTTAGTCAGTTCTAGCAGTAGATGAATGATTTGTAGCCAGTCCTTTCAACAGAATTTTTGTTTCAGACATCATGATCAAAAAGGAAAGAAAGAAAAAAATTCCTGTTTCTAATGTCTAGGTTCCAAAAAGAGGGAGAAAGCAGCTCTACAAAATAAGGGAAAAAAAATTCACCTTAATTAGTGCTCTTCTTTATTTTTGTCACAGAAATATATTTTTTGCATTAAAGATATCAGGGGGAGAGAGAGAGAGAGAAATTTTAAATGGAAAAAGCTGCTCAGCTCATTTCTGTTTAGACTTTCAAGGCCCTGTGACTTGTTTAAAATCTTATAATTGGTATCCAACCTGCTATGTAAGTCAACAGGTGATTAAGTATGTTCTGCCCTTGAGCCCTATTTAGAAATGCTTTTCTTTTCTTTTTTAATGTATTTAGTACAGGGTCTCCAGGGTCTCACTACACAGATCAGACTCATAGTGATCCTTCTGTTTTCAGCCTCCCAAGCAATGGAATTATAGGTGCGTGCTGCCACACCCAGTCTTAGTCACTGTCTCAGTGTGCCCCGGGGATCGAACCCGGTCCTACGGCTGGCGCTTTAGACTGCTGAGCTATCTGGCCAGTGCTTAGAAATGCTTTTCTATTTAGAAATACTTTCTAGAGTTCAAATCTCTTAGGCCATGAGTCTGGCCAAGAAAGGTGGCTAGGCCAGATGAGGTGAAAGGTTACCAGCTTCTGCTGCCAGGCAGTACCAGCTGGGTCATACTAGGTAGAACCTAGTGAAGAGACCGTTAGTACTTCTGTGGCCCCAAAACACAATTTAACACTAACATTTTCCCCTTCTTCAGGACTCACCACAGCTGTTGCATGACATTTATTCTTGTTAAGCTTTTCAGTTTTAGGGATCTTAAGTTCTCTTTAGTCATTTCAGGGAATATGAAGTTGATCTGAGCCAATGCAGGGCTGATTTTATAGTGTAGTCATCAAATAAATTAACAGCATTGGCGATTTGCTCCATCTTTAGTATGAAATTCTATATAAAAGTGAGAAGATCAATGTTATCATGATTCTGTTGATATTTGCTGAACATGTCACACAGGGCCATCTCTAAACTCAAGCAAGTCCTCTGGAGAGTGCAGACTATTTTGACATCACCTGAATTCAGATGTGCTGGTAGTGTCTCCTCCTTCTTGGAGGCAGATTAGTTTAATGCTGGTTACTATCTGAAGATGAACTCTAGTTCCATGAAACATAATCTGTACAAGAATTAGGTCAACTGTGTGTGTGTGTGTGTGTGCGTGCGCGCACGCACCACAGGATTGCAATGCACAGTCAATAAAACCAGCCTTGTGTAAATTCCCCTACCATTGTGAAAAGCATGGGTTAAGTTTACAAAACTGTTTGCTTATACTCTTCAGTTATTTGACCCTGCTTATTTGGAGTTAGGTGGGAGTTTTCAAGCAGTTCATAGGCATCTTCCATGTTGGGGAGACTCTGCCTCATGCCCTGGGTGACCCTTTGGAGCTGAATACCAGTACTGTTCTTTGAACAAACTCTTTGGCCCTTGTAAACCTGAGCCCGATGTTTACAGACTCCAAACTTGCTGAGCAGGATGAACACATCCCTTTGGAAGGCCTTGGTGAAAATGGCGTAGAGGAATGGATTGGCACAGGAGTTAAGGGGATAGAAGAGAACCAGCAAAATTTTAGAGTTGGTGACAGTGATGAGAGGCTTGTTTATAACTGCAGACAGAGCATAGAATGAGATGGGAGCCATGCACATGAAGTCAGTGAAGATCAACACTGCCATCCTCTTGGCAATCTTGGTGTCTTTGTCCCCAGGGTTGTACTGAGGATTTCGGACTGTGATGTAGATCTTCACATAACAGGAGCAGACAATGATGAAGGCGACAATGTTGAGCAACAAAACAAGGACAATGTATGCAAGAGCAAGAGGGGTCTCCGTGTCCATGGGCAAGCAGATGCTGACCTTGGCATAGCTACTTATTCCCACCAAAGGGAGCAGGGCAAGAAGGAAGCAGCAAATCCAGCCACCAATCATGATGGCGTATGCATGCCTGAGACAGAGCTTCCGGTCCAGGCGCATAGCGAAGGTGATGGCATACCAGCGCTCCAGGGTGATGACTGTCAATGTGTACACTGACAGCTCACTGGCGAAGACAGTGAAGAAGCCGGCTGTGTTGCAGCCAGGGCCGGTCTGCCAGTCGATGGCGTGGTTGTAGTACTCTGAGTGGGTATAGAGGTCCACAGAGGCGATGAGGAGCAGGTATATCCCCATGCACAAGTCTGCAAAGGCCAAGTTGCACATGAGAAAGCGTGGGACAGTCAGTTTGTAGTGGCTGGTGAGGAGGATAAACAGGACAAAGACATTTCCCAGGAGAGCCAGCAGGCTCACAAACCACACCACAATTCTCAGGAACCTGTAGCCCATGATATCTTCACAAGGATTGAACTCATCAGACTTGGGGGTGCACACCATGTCTTCATTGTCCCCGCACACAATGTAGTCATAATGACTGTCAAAGGCCTGTAGAGTCTCTTCTTGGGGATTTTTGAGCTCCTCGCCAAAGCCTATGATCTCGTCCTCTTGTTCTTCGAAGAAGACATAATAATGCGAGCTACTGTGTGTGTCCTGGAGATTGGAGTTTTGCTTGTATTCCACTCTGCTGTCACTCAGATCTTCATATTCTTGGTAGGTAGGGCCATTCCAGGCATTCACAGACTTTCTCTGACGTAGGCTCCGGAAACTGCTCTCATTACACATCAAGGACTCAAGGATTCTGCAAGGGGACAGAAATGAATCACCACTTACTTACAATCTGCAATGTTTAGAAACCTACGGAAGCTACTTACTCCGGGGGATAGGACTCTGTAAGACTCTACATGACCTGGTTGGGCCTGTCCCACCCACATCATTGCCTGCCACCTCTCACCTAGTGTGATCCAGTGACACCAGTCTTATGTCTCATCTACAGTCACTTCAACAAAGCAGCGAAACCACAAATAGCAGTGATAAGAAAGCAGCCAACTTAGGCTAGCATGTGGCTGTACTAGTTACTAGCTGTTTTGCTTAGGGCATGTCTCTGAACTTTAATTTATTCATTTGCAAAAAGGATAATGAGTATGTCATAAAGGGTTACACCTACATGACTGCTACTATGCGTTGGTTATTATTATTATTATTAGGAGTTCTAGAATTCCATATTCCTAGCCACACCTAGAAATACATGGCTGCCTGTATTCCTTTTTCAGTTTTAAACTCAGATGTCTAAAAGTTGACAGCTGAAAGAGTTGAACTCCAAAGGTGGTGTCATCCTCGTACGGGGGACCCCAGAGGATGTCATGTATCGCAGAATACCCCACCAACACTGCCGGCCCATGGAGAAGCAACTGAAAATACATGTGCAGCAGTCTCATTGAACAAGGTTACCAGAGCAGCAGTTTATCACACTAATAAATGTCTGGAAGTTAATAGCCACCACTTTGACCACCTCTTGTGGAGGCCACAGATAACTTGTGTTAATCTCATGATGTCTCAATAAATTTAGTACTTGTATAAAGTTAAAAAAAACAAAAACAAAAAACAAACCCAAAAAACTCAAATGTCTCTCAGAAGAGTCTTTTTTTTTTTTTTTTTTTGTATTTTTTAGGGAAGGATCTACAGGTGTACAGGGTCTCACTGCATAGTAGATCGTAATGATCCACCTGTTCACAGCCTCCGAAGAGCTGGGATTACAAGCACGTGCCACCACACCCAGTTTCAATCGCCTTCTCAGCGTGCCCTGGGAGCAGGGCCAGCATAGCAGGCCCAGGCATTGAACCTCTGACCCCTGCACCTGCTTGCAGGCACTTTAATCCTCTGAGCTATTTGGCTGGCTCTAGAAGAGTATTCCTTGATCTCCTTAAACAAATTGTCTGACCCTTGTGTTTGTTTATTTCAAAGCACTAGCTGATACTTTCTTATGTTTCCCTGTTTGTTTTTTGGTTTCCTTCATTAGACTGTGAACAAAACAAAGAGGGGCTCTTGTCTGTCCTACCTGCTATTGTAGGCAGGAGAGCGCCAGCCATGGAGGAGATGCTAAATAAATATTTGTTGAATAAATAAATAAATGGAAGCTCCCATGCGGATACATTCATAAAGATTCAGTTTTTCTGTCGCTCATCAGACTTATAAGAAATTGTTTAATTTGATTCAGCTGCTGAGCAGAGATTGGTTGATCTCTACCAAAGTCTGTTAAAATGCCCAGTGGGTTGCTGTTCTAGTGTATTTGGAGGCCAACGAGAGACTCGGACCCTGCCCTGTGGTGTACTTCAGCTTCCTACTCATCTCTGACCCTTTCCTAGAGGGTGCCATGTGGCGTCAGTGCAGCCGCTGCTGTCATTGTCTCTGTGTCCTCCTCCTGGTTTCCTGCAGTTTTAGGCCCATGTGGGTCTTTTTTGTACAGTGGTTAAATGTTTTTGTTTGCTTCTGCCTTCGCAACTGGGTCCCAGCCCTTTTCTAATAATAAATATGAGTACAGCAAGTCAGTCAGCAGATGCTTATGCCGAAGCTGAGATGGACTGAAATAGAGACGAGTTAAGGTGGAAGTAGGAGAACAGGGAACGGTACAAGCCATAGAGAGGGACATGTGCAGGTACAAGGGTGGGCAGAAGTGAGAGCAACAAACTATATAGAGAAAAAGCACCTTCCTTTGCAGTCTCCTATGCAGACAGATATTAAAATACCGTATACCACAGTTAATGTTTATGGAGAACTTACATTATCCCAGGCCATCCCATTCCAGATATTCTCTGTTCAGCTTCTTCTTTCAGCTTCTCAAAACCCCTCTAAATGATGGCTTTATGATCCTCTTTTTTAGAAGCTCAGGGTAGGTACATAACAACTGGAGACTGGTAGGACTGGGGTACAAAGCAAGCTTAGGGCCAAGCCTGTCCCATGTAATCAGTGAGCTGTGACACTGGCAGGGCCCAGACTGATAAGGCAGTCCACCTGCTTGTGTTAGTAAGCTTGTCCTTCCTGTTGGTGTCTAACATGTGTTGCTTCTAGAAACATGAAACAGCAGTCATGTCTGTGTAACCTCCCCAAAGTTACGTGACCAGGCCACAACTTTCCTGCTGTCTCATCTCTTCTTGCCTTCCATCCCCTGAGCTGCCACTTTTCATTCACAGGCATCATATCTCGTGGATTTCCTGCTCCACAGATGCTCCTCATTCTTTTCTACTTGATTCTCAAGTCACAGGGATTCTTCTCCAAACCTAGAAATTAATGTAACTTCCATCATGTCCTGTCATCACTAGGCCCCTGACACTTACCCTCTGATTTTCTTCTGATTCTTAAAAGCACAGCAATGGCTTGGATAAGAAAGATCCGCCCGGATGAGGTGAAGGAAACTCAAGGAAAGTGGCAGTTTCTTAAGAGTCCAGGTGTTTCTTGCTATCAGCTCCTTCAGATGTTCCAGGCCTTTGGATGGCAGCGCCGTAATGCTGGTGTAAGACACATCCCTGGGATGCAGAGGACAGAGTGGCACAGAGAGGCAATGAGCAGACAGGGTCTTGCAATCCTTGGCCAGAAAATCAAACAGGTCTGGGATGAATGGGAAACTGAAACTGAGCACCCTTCTGCTTCTGAATCTGTAATCGGAATTCATAGTCTAAGGGGGAACACAGCCACTCATCTAAGGAAAGATATCAAGCATCTAAGTCAATGTTTTATGAGGAGCTTCTATTTTTATTGCTTGAAATTCAAATATTCACCAGCACACATTTTAGTTCTACAGACATTTCAATTTATTCATCAGAATACTGTCAAACTTTTGTAATCAGAGACAAATGTCAAGTTTGCTCTGCAAAGTGACACCATGCACCCATGCAAGGGTCCTAAGAGGCAAGTGAAATAAAGCTGAGCAGGTGCAAAGGCAGCTGTACTATTCTCAGTTTCTGGGGACCAGGGTTTTAGGAACAGCACACTGGCTTGGCACTGGTACTATATACAAATCATCTAATGACGTGGATTGTAAGTTCTAACCAATCACATTGTGAGTTCATAACTAAGAAAAATCCTTCTCTTCTGCCTGTGCACATGGTTTATTTGGAATACTGTACATGTATTCCTGCAAAGAAGATTCAGGTTTTTACAAAAGCAACCTGGAAAGAGATTCAAGTCATTTCTTCAGATTATGAAATGCAAGGGTGATAGGACTAGGAATGGGGCTTTACATTTTAGTTATGAAAGCATAATTAATTCAGATTTTAACTTGACATTCATTGTTCTTTCCACCCTCGTGTGTCCAGGTTTATGTCTTGCTCCATTGTTTTTACTTGCACTGAATAACAGCATGGATATGACTATGAATGTTTAATTTAACATCTTATTTTATATTTTATCAATTAAAAATTCATTAAATAGCATTTATATTTTAAAACATTTAATACAATTAGAAGTGTGGGGAAAATGAGTTCTAATATTTTCAGCTTCTTCTTACACAACATTCTAATTGGAATTAGCTGGGATTTATGGTATCAAGGTCCAAGGCTGTCAAAGCTCGCTTTTCTTAGGGCCGGCCAGATAGCTCAGTGATGTAAAGTGCCTGCTTAGGCAGACACAGTGACTGGGGGTTTGATCCCTAGCTTATTGTGCTGGCCC